TTATTTTTTTTTTTTTTTTTTTTACTGGTTAACGAAAAATTTATTTATTATAAAAGGAAACATTACAGCACGTGTCATTAGTTTGATAACAGTAATAGAAATAAATCTACATAACAATAATACAAAACTAAACACCTAGAATATACTAAAAATTACTATATTCCTGATGAACCAGGATAACTAAACAAAAATAACAGAAAAAAAATCAACCCATTTGGGCGAAAATAAAAGAAAATATTTAAAAATAAAATAAAATAAAAGAAAAAATTATTTGAATAGTATACTGATTAACACGAACTATAAAATCCAAGGGTTCTATATTAAAATATATATTATTCAAAAGCCCTTCTACTTTTTGATAGACTTTATGATTAATATCTTTTTTAACTATATTTTTATCATAACTATAATGTTTTTTATCTTCTTTAGTAATACTTAAACTTTTTTCTTTGTCTTTTTGTAAATCACATCTATCGACCCAAATCTTATGTGTAGAATCAAAAACGAAATCTAAAAATTTGACTCCAGTTTCGAATATATGAACTTTAGTCATTTTAATTTCTTATCGTAAAAAATCAGCTAATAATTTAGGAAATAAGCCTTTAATAATATCCACGAAAGTTAATTTATTATTATTAACTTTAACTTCCCCAAATGATTCGTTTATAAATAAGTCAATTATTTTAGCTTCATCGAAGGTATATATATCGTATTCTTTAATTTTTTCAATTAAACATATAATTGAATAATATATAATATTTCTCATTCTTTTACGATTTGAATAACAACGCCAAACATGTCCAAAAGTTTCTTTTTTACGCTCACAGACAGGACATTTCCAATCCTTATATATATCAAAATTAATCAATTTTCTTTGTTCTACAGTTGGAATTTCTTCAATTAAATTCTTAATTTTATAACGACGTCGTTTAGTTGTGTGTAAATTAGTTTGTAAAACATTTTCATTTTCCTTTAAGAATTCAAAAGTAATTGCCCATTCTACGCTATCTATTGTATATTTTCGATTTCTTCGAAGATTAAAAAATTTTTCTAAATTTAAAATTTCATTATAATATCGTATGAAACGTCTAATCGGTTTTTCGATAATAATATTATTCCATGTAAGCATATATTCGATTTTATCGAGTTGAAAAAAATTAAAATTAACCGAATATACCCTATTCCTATCTAAATAACGATCTTTAATTTTTTGATCTAAAAAATTATGGTATAAATCATCATCATGTGCTTTGATTTTAGTAATTTTTGGTATAATTATTTCATTTAAGTCTATAAATTGTCGAATTAAAGCCCAAATATAAATGTTATTCTGTGTTTTTAGTAATTTGTGTGTATTATAAATTTCAGTTTTGCATATAATTTCATTAAAA